AGTCACTGAATTCTTCTCCTGCTGTCGCTGATTCATTACTTAAACAAAATGTAAATGCGTGTACAATTTTATTTTACATTTCATAAAGTATCACCAAAAGATATTGTAAAATATTTTAAAATTATTCATGTCAAGAAAACAGCAGACCTGTGGGGGATTTCCATTAAAGTTGTTGCGTCTATAATAGATACAATCGCGCCTCATTTAGCTATTATTTTTAATACTAGTATCGAATCTGGTATGTTTCCTGATTTAATGAAGCATAGTAAAGTAATACCTTTATTTAAATCTGGTAGTACATTAGACCCCGCCAATTTTAAACCTATATCTTTACTACCAACAGTAAGATTTTAGAAAAAATTATTCTTGATCAAATGTTAAATTTCTTTAATATAAATAATTTACTTCATAAAAATCAATTTGGTTTCACAAGGGGTCGCACGAAAACTGATGCTGGTGTTGAGCTGATTAAATATATCATGCATGGTATAATTCACAGGATTCTTTGGGTATATTCTGTGACCTATCCAAGACCTTCGATTGTGTTCACCATGAAACATTAATCAGGAAACTTCAAACACTACGGTGTAAGAAGTGATGCTCTTAAATTAATTATTTCATATTTAAGTAAGAGAATGCAAAAAAATGTCATTAACATTATGAGCTATACCGGGTCGATGGTACAAATGGGCGTGCTTCAAGACTCAATTCTCGGCCCCTTTCTGTTTTTTGTATACATTAATGACTTACTTTACATAGTAGGGGATAACCATGATATTTGCAGATGACACTTTTTCATTTTCAAATTAAGGCGACAATTACTAAAATATGACGAAGTAAATAATGCTATATCTAAATTAGTAAATTGGTTCAATGTTAATAATTTGCATCTAAATGACACTAAAATTAAATGTATGAAATTCATGACTCCAAATGTCAAACAATTAAATACTAATGTAATTTTAAATGGGCAGGAAACGAATTCTTGTAGATACCACCATTTTTCTTGGAATCATACTAGACGCGAAGCTTCATTGGAGCCCCCATATATCAATGCTAGCAAGCAGACTTAGTTCTGCAGCATATGCTGTAAAAAGATTAGAAGACTTACCAGTGTTGAAACAGCTAGACTAGTTTACTTTAGCTATTTCCATAGCATAATGTCGTATGGTATTTTGGTATGGGGACACGCAGCTGACACTGAAATTATATTTGTTTTACAGAAGGGGGCCATAAGAACAATTTATGATTTAAAACCTAAAGACTCACTGCGACAAAAAGTTAAGGAAATTTATATATTAACTTTGGCCTCTCAATACATTTATGAAAATGTAATGTACGTACACAAAAATAAATGTAGTTTTACAAAAATAAATGATATTCATTCTGTAAATACTAGGAGCAGACACAAGCTAGTAGTACCAGTTACTCGACTCCATCGAGTCAGTGATTCATTCTTGGGGCGGTGTATACGCTTTTACAACAAAATTCCAGAAAATATACAAAATTTGAACTTCTCAAAGTCCAAAAACTTTATCAAAGCCTGTATAAAAACGGTTATTATAATATTACAGAATTTATGGATGATAATAACCCCTGGAAATGAGGTGATCGCTACCAAGCTATTTCTAAGTTGTTGTGTTGTTAATTTGTGTATCATACATGATTATAAGCTGTTGTTTAAAAAAAAAAGTTCCGCTGGGTTTCTTGCTGATTCTTCCCAGAACAGAGGTTTTTTTTCGAACCAGTGGTAATTAAACAAAAGACTGACTTTCAATAAGTATTATTTATAATCTATATCGAATAAAAAAGTTTCTGTTTCAGTTTCTGCTGCGGAACTGTTCGTCATTTGACTTCGTTTTATTTGCATATTTTGTCTTGTGAAAATTTATTGTTTAAGACATTAGTTTAATATTTTGTTATATCAAAGCTGTATTTATGAATCGTTTATTGTAATAAAATATTAGATTACCGTGTAGTGGCGGTTTCAGAATATCCACTACCCCATATTGTCATTACGTGGGTGTCATCGTAAGAGGCGACAGAGGAAAACACATCAGCAGATGGAATGATCTTCCTAATAATTTAGTTGCAAGCTTTGCTTCATAGCCGTTTAAGTTTACCGTTATGGTATGAGCTTAATAGTTTGTTATGATTCATTTATTATAATAAACTGATTCATTTATTAAAATAATAAAATTTAGTATTTTTATATAGACACTAGCTGTGTTATTAATCTATTAATGATATAAACGTTAGAATAAAAATTTTAGTTTTATGTTTTGTATTGTCAAAACTAGGTTAAATCTTTATCTGTGTTTTAAATTTGTGTTTAATTTCATTCATGTTAAAAAATATCATAGTTAATTCCTATTTACAAATTATGAATCACACTTTATGTATTAGGATTAATTACTAACAACCGACTGTTAAATTAAACATTTGAAGCTTTTAGGTATTATACAGTTATCTTTAAAAAAATGTTCAAATGATTAATTAACAGTTGGTTGTTGATAATTAATCCTTGTACATAAAGAGTAATGAAATACCATGAACAGTAGTGTATATGTAGAGGTGCATGTGTTACACGCACGCACACATTCTCACAATATTGTGGCGAAACGACACTAGACAGCGCTAGTACTCCTCGGTTGACAGATTTCGCACGAGTGGGTACCACAGAGTACTTTTTATAAACTGGAAGTGTGCTCTCTTTTCCTGTATAGGACAGTTACTATACTCTTTGATAGTGGTGGTTTTTGATTTTTTGGATCAGGCTCAGAAGGGCTAGAACCCAAAGCCGTAAATAGGGGTGTCCACTTTGAAAATACATCGATGTTTTTTTCGATGTGATGCATCGAGACTGTGCATCGATATATTCCGATGCATCGGTGAGAAACATCGATGTTTTTTCAACATCGAGTACTTTTTATGACTTTACATTATAAATCTGTAGTTAACTTCCTGACACCCTATTCAAACAACCGACAATTTGGAATGATCTCTTATTCTTACATATGTGTGTTCAAGGATGTTAGACAGTTAGATAGATATTCTTTATATAAATAAATTATTACCTACTACTAAATGGACGGCGGGTTTAGAACAAAATTTACGAAAAATGTGTCCCGAGTCAACCTATATATAAGCGTATTATATATTTAATTTTACTTGCGACAATTTATCAGCCTTTCAACTTCAACCAGAGGCTGTTCATCTTATGCGGCTTTTAGCGAAAATTATCGGTATGATTTTTTGTTTTTACAATTAATGTGAATTTATTATTTAAATACTACGTATCTTGTATCTAAGCAAAATATTACTTTTAAATTATTAAATATTAATAGTCCTTATCGAAAATATATACAAATATAGATAGATTGGCGCCTTTTATGATACAGTTCGGCATTTTGGAGTGTATTACCGGTCGACAAAACGAAGCCTGGCGCGCAATATTGGAACTTTTTGCTTTTGGAACACTTTTGACTCGGACAAAGCGCAGAGCCGAAGTCCATTTAGTAGTAGGTCAATGTTTATGATATTATTTTAAATGAAAAAAGCATGCATCACATTAAAAATACTTACATATGGAATATAGCTCCATCTTTTTGCAAATTTTAAGTATTTTGACTGCTTTATGCATACGTTAACCGCATTTTTCAAAGAACACCTACTTCGGCGGAAACGATTATCGTATATTATAAAATCGATTTCGTAAACAGTTTTTATAAACGCACAAGCTTTTAAATTCAATACCTTGGCAAAGGGGAATAATCATGCGAGGTGAGTCCACTGGGTTAAATGGTCTAAAGGCCGCTACTTACTTGCCTGCCGCAGGAGCAATCTAGGGCGTAGGAATGGGGATGACCCTTAATTGCCTCCTTAATTGTGATGTGTTTTTTTTTACAGGATAGGGTGACAAACGAACGCACAGTCCACCTGATGATAAGTGGTTGCTGTGACTCATAGACATCTACATTTATCCTCGATAAAGAATCAAAATGCAGATATGTTGTCGCCCGTGAGGACTAAGATGGAATGTCTCTTTTCCAGTAAAAAGGGTCTCCGGTTCTCTACACTCACCATACGAAACGCAACAGTGCTGTGAGAGCGTGGTCCTTCCCCGGTCGAGCCGACCCATTTGTGCTACAACTATACTACTAATGCCAAGCCATGCTTCAGCTTTTAAGGACTACGTTATGGCTGTAATTAATAATTAATTAGTTGTTTTATCAATAAATATGGGTATCTATGTATTACAGTATCCACTTAACATCAAGTGGACTGTGCTCATTTATCACCCTTATTCTTTTTTCTTATATAAAAAAGAGCCAAGGCTATATTTACCATTATTTTGATTCATTAATATTTTGATAGAACTGGCGCCATTCTCAACGCGTGTGTCCAGCAAGACGTATACTATCACACTGAACAGCAGGCATGAGTGTAGAGACAGTTCTGATATTGCCCGATCGCTGTTCATCCTAGATTGCCCCTGCGGCACGCAAGTGAGTGAGTGAGCCGCCTTAAGACCGAGACAGGCCAGACGAATTTCTTTAAATTCTCTTTAACATGCAACACGCCAATCTCAATTTCTTGATTCCGCTAAGGTACTGACAGCTGCCAACTAGCACCACCAACAGGTTAAATATTATAACTTCTAAATCAGAGCATGTTTTAGTTTCTTCTGATTTATAAGTTATAATATTAATAGTGATAGACAAGTATACCTTTTTACAATTGACTGGTTATCATTGATTCGATGTTTTATGAAAATACATCGATACATCGAGTATATCAATAACTTTCCAAAACATCGGATCGATCCGATGCATCGTATTGTAAACATTGAGTGAATTCGATGCATCGATGTATATCGAATATCCCTAGCCGTAAAGCCAGTTTAATTAAAAGATTGGTTTTTTGGGGTTGGGATGATAACTTGATGTTTGTAGAATAGGATTTTTTTTAATAGATATTATTAAGTTCAATTAATCCACATGGAGCGAATTATTAAATTTGGAAATACAATACGAAATAATTTGAAAAAATCAGCGGTTGGTGTAGTAGCTCTATGTTATGGAGCGACGATAGTTAAAGAAAAATACCAGTATGTACGTTTAGTATAATTTCACATTAAATATTATAAGTGAACGATAATAATTATAGACACTTAGGATAATTTAATAAATATTGAATGATGATGTAATTTTTGAATTTCTTGGTATATTTAATATATATATTTATATTATAAAAGAAATTATAAAACATAATTTGATATGTTTTACAAGTAGTTCATTACAATCTGAAGTTAAATTACAGTCATATTTTAAATATGTGATATTTATTAACAGAATCAATGTACTCATGCAAGCAGCGTGCAAAGAAGCAGCAAAATATGGTGACTCTCTGATACCCATGGATAGAAATCCAACTGTAGTCACAGTTATTTTAAACCCAGTGGCAAATAAAAGGAAGGCGAAGCGAGATTTTGAGAAATATTGTGAGCCATTACTTCATTTAGCAGGATTGCAGGTAAAAACATCATACAGTCATTATTTTTCCAACATTTTTGTATAACATACAGAGATATATTAAAGCTTTAATATAATATGCTGTGTGACCCCTGAGTAGGTGTGCCACTCAAAACCCATCTACACTCTCTCAAATGAAAGGTTAGACGACTGAGATTACGGGTCCCCATGGAACGGTCCCAGTTTTGACGTCAGTCATCAGTGGACTGTATATTGTGTAGTGGGTTCGACTGACAAATTGAAGCGTCGGTTATTCTTCATAAATTCCCTTTGGAAATGTGACATTGGAAAATTTCACTACTTTTTCCTATCACTTTTCCCTATTGTTTTTTTTTTTCTTGATTTGAACTGGAAACTGGTAGCTGGTCCAGAACGACTTATCATACTATGAAAGCTATACGCGAAGGAGAACACACACAAAAAAGTCACATTATAATAATATTCACGACATTGCTATCACATAAAAACATATTAAACAAGTGGGATGCAGGAAGTAAAGACTGTGTAAGTACCTCCAAAGGAGGTGGAGTTATAGCCGAAATAAGAATTTTAAATTTTTTGGTTTTTGGCCATTTCGACCTCCTAGGAGTGTAATGAGAGCTTTTTGCCCCTATTCAACCATGACCCCCATGAAGTCCTCTACATGATATGCTATTCAAACTGAATAGGCCTAAAGCTTGAGTCAACTCCAACTCATTTATAGTCTACTTCCAATTATTTAATTAAATATTTATTACACACATTCAAAACAATAATATTTATTAATAAACATGAATATCTTACTAATACAATACTTTAATTCACAAATCAAAACCTTTAAGCAGCATTAATACACTAATTCAACTTAAATTTTTCACAAAATTAAACACTTATCACATTTCTTATCTTGTTATTCTATACAATAATTCTGAAACATTTGTTACCTATTTTTTCATAAATTACTGAAATATTCATAAATTAATTAAATCTTATAAATACTATTATTTTTATATTTTTGTATGTTATTTAGACACTGTTCTAATCCCATACAAAATGTTCTACTTTCTGCACGACCCTTGGCACCACAGTAGAAGGCTAGTGCTTTCTCTGTCTAAAATACAGCTATTTCTATGCGTTATATAACATTATTTATTTACATATGCTATTCTTATCTAGCCATAATATAATTTATCTCATTATCATAAAACATAACATATCTAATTTAATGTAAATCTTTTATTTGTATTACATAGCCATTACTATATAACACATGACTTTAAGTTAATAAAACAATTTTTGTGGAATTAACTCTCAGCCGGGGAACAGAACCATGAACTCTCGCATGACAATTGAATGTTATTATCATTATATTGAATTTATTTACTTTTAACATAGATTATTCTTTAATTTGGAAACATATTTACTTTTAGCATAAATTATTATTAATGTAAATATCCTTAATGATTTCTTAAATTTACGCGAACACTACACATTGAATAAAACTATTTTTTATGGATTTTATCACATTTAATTAACTTATTTTATATTCCCGACGCTTCGGTTGCTAAAATCCTTGTTTCTAAAAATTTAGAGGTTGTAAATATCCTTGTTTCTAAAAATGGAAAATTATTTTAATTATCATTTAAGAGCAACCCCAACAGTTACATATACATCATCATTACAGCCTATCACAAGCTCACTGCTGAACATTGGCCTCCCTTAAGTAATGCCACAAACAGTGGCGTAGCTAGGCGTGTACTCTCACCCACGGCCTCGCACTTCAAGGGGCCTCGTGATGCCTCTGTAATGTGATGTCTCCCAGACTTTACCACAAATGACTAATTAATTTGATCACTTTTACAATTTTTAAAATCTAAAAGCGTGTTTGTTTGGGGCAAGAAGCCCCTCTTAAGTGTGACTGGGTGGACATTGTAACTACTTTCAAAGACACTGACCGTTAGATTGACGGATTACGAGACTTGTCAGGAATTAATAGGTATATCATGTCAACGCATGTTTGGTAGGATAGATCTATTGGGTAGATCTTGGGAACAAAAGAAAAGGGGCCTCGCTGATGCGACTTCGCCCACGTCTAAATGAGTCCACACTACGCCTCTGGCCACAAAGCACAGCCCTGAGCCACCTGCATCCATCAACTTCTTGTATCTCTTACCAGTTATCACTCTATCTATACACTTATACTTTGCCTTAAAATTAATAGTATGGGAGTGAGAGCTAAATAAGAGATAAAAAAGCTTAAATTTTCGATTGTCTTCAAATAAATATAAAAAAACTTTATCAATGTAGATAGATTATTCATCTTTACAGCCCATTACAAGGGAACTGCTGAACTTCACCTACCGCAAGGAATACTACAAAGTTCTGTCGTGAGCTGTATTAACCTCAACATATATTACGTAATTATATGTTATTTCAGGTTGATGTTATACAGACAACATCTGAAGGCAATGCTAAGGAAATTGTGGAAACCTTGCGAGGCACTGAGGCTATCATTGTTGCTGGTGGGGATGGGACTTTCTCGGAAACTGTTACAGGTGAATGTTGATAGTGTTTAAAAAGTTTATGTAACAAGGAACTATACTATAAAGTTTTGGTCAATGTGAATTATGAATGTTTGAATAATAATAATAATAATTTATTTGCCAGAAATATGGTAGTTACAGATATTATAATAATTAAAGATAGTACAAGCATATTTCACCAGTGGCATGCAAATACATAATTTTATAAAATGTACGATTCCATTAATAGAAAAATCATGTTTAATTATAATTTTATGATAAATTTAAGATTCATAAGACCGATAAGATGGATGTGACTAATTAAACAAAAAAAAAATACAAAGTTTTATCTAGTCCTAAATTAAAAAGCGTCAGTAGTCTAATGGCAGGGCGCGGACCGCGATCTCGAAAGGTCGCGGGTTCGAATCCGCAATTCGATTACTGTCGTAAACCACTTCTAACACAAGCATTTTAAGCTCAACAGTGGTAGAGCCACGCGACAGCTTTTGCTGTCGCACGGATGGGCCGGCTCGAACCGGGGTGGTACCACAACCTCACAGAAAACCAGCGTGAAGTAGAGGTTTACCTCTGCGTTTCGCTTGGTGAGTGCAGGTGGCCGGAGGCCCTTTTTACTGGAAATGAGGCATTCCATCTTAGTCCTCACGGTTGACAACGCATCTACATATTGATTTGTAATAGAGGATAGATGTAGATGTCTATGGGCCACAGCAACCACTTACCATCAGGTGGACTGTGTGCTCATTTGTCACCCTTATTTTATAAAAAAAAAAAGCTACCAGAAGTGGTTAAAGGGAATATTAGTAATGATTAATAGCATTACTAGTATTTTTTTAAATAAAAAGAAAAATACATTCATATTATATCAACTGTATTTAGTCAATTTTACACGAAATGTCTTATAAATTACTTATCATTTTGGTTTATAACAATAAAAATCATTTAAAGTATAAAAACAATTTTGGATGAGCTATTGTTTTAGTTTATTTGTAAATGTTTTAATGGAAGTTCTCAAATTTCATTGAAGATTGCTTAATACCACTACCCTCAAGGCTCAAAGTGCTTTATAGTTTTACAAGGTTCCTGTATAGTAGCAACTGCATTATATTATAGGATAATGTATTATGATTCTGTGTTGGTAGTTGTAAAAAAAAATGTAATTTTTATCGCTTTCAATTCAATTTTATTTTACGCAAAAAATTTTACAGGATTATTGAGAAGAAATGATGATGCAAATCAGTTTCCTCTTGGCGTTCTGCCACTTGGTCGCACAAACAGGCTTGGGAACAGCTTATTTCATGGAGGTAAAGGAGTAGATAGGGTTAAACAACTAATTGAAGCTAGCATGGCCATCATAAAAGGGAACACAGTTTGGAAAGATGCAATGAAAATTGAACCAATTGTTACTGAAGAAGAAGTACCAAGCAAACCCATATATGCAATGACTTCATTAGAATGGGGAGCATTTAGAGATACAATGGCCAAGAGAGATAAGTACTGGTTTCTCGGACCACTGAGAGATTATGCATCATTCATTTTCAATGGATATAAAGAGTCCCTAAACTGGAACTGCAGTGGGGTAATTAAATATTCGCCACCTTGCGCCGGTTGTAACAACTGTATAAGGAAAAGACCAGAAATTAAAAGAAAATGGAGCTTTTTTATGCCAAGCACACAGACATTACAACCAGACTCCACTAACATTGTAAACCCAGATTGTGCGACTTCACAAGAGCTGTGCTTCAAAACATGTGACTTTAGAATACGCACTAGAAATTTCGAACACACGGATGTTCCTTCTTTGAGTATAGTTATTGGCAAAAATAAGTATAGTTACTCAGAATTTATTACAGAAGGTTGGAGGCGTCTTAAAGGCTTGGATGAAAACACAAAACGCATAGAAGCAAGAACAGTAGAATTCTTGCCCAATGAATCTGGCCCTGAAGTGGTTATAGGGATAGACCGCGAAGAATTTGATGTGAAACCAGTGAAAATAACACTGCTGCCTAAGATTGTTAAGTTGTTTTGTAATCCAGATTAAATGACTTGAAATTGTCATTGATAATGTCTTATTTCCTATTTTATTTTTTTATATACTTGTGGTTGTCTAGTATTTGAAATTCGACCGTAGTTCATAAAATTTTTGTTTGTATATTAAGAAAGCTTTATTTCATTTTCAACTGCACATTAAGACAGATATCTCGTAAATAACATTTAAAATCAATACTTTTTGCCTTAACATATACACTTCACAGACTATTTTAAAAGGAACATTTGAAATCACACAAAATTTAGGTCTAATTATTTGTTAAGAACATTTTTAAATTCTTTGGCTATTATCTCTTTTTATGTGCAACTGTTTAACTATTGTCTTTGACATTGGCAGCATCCCTGGTATATAATGTATTATCTATGATTGGCAGTATGAAGCCGCTTATCGATTAAGTGCTCCAAGAGCTCGAACATAGCCGCGCGAAATGGATACCGCCTTGGAACACGCGTGGTACAAAGTTTTCCCTTCACATATTAATTCAAAGATAATATAGAGACAAGAGCCCTTCGGAATTATTTTTCTTGATTTAGGAATATTGGAATAAATTAGGCTCAACCTATTTGTATTTCTAAAATATTAACCGATTCGTTGCGGCACCGATTTTCGACAACTTTTAGCTGTGGCGGCGAACAAATATTTCGCCACAGAAGTTGATGACACGCCTATTGTGCCATCAGCCATGTGTAAAAATAATTATCTTTTTTATGCTTTTTTCACTTGTTTAGACCTAATTAAGTTTAGTTGACATCAAACATCAGTTACAAACTGAAGGATACTTGTTTTTAGTGGGTAACTACGTGTTTTCTTTGAAATTGAGAGTGACTTTTTTATGCAGAGATTACAAACCTTTTGTACTTTTTTTTGTTTTAATAAAAAACATTTATATAAGTAGGTACATCTAAATCACCCTGGAAAACCTTGGTTTTTAATAAATTAAATTTTCACCTAATAATAACATTTGTAAATGTCAAACAATTAGGAACGAAGAACCTTAATTTGGAAAAAAAATAAAGTTTATGATTCATTGATTGATTGATTGTTATACAAATGTAAAAGTAAAGTCGATCTGAAAACGTCTAATTAGTAAGAATGGCAAAACAAGTGTTTTCAAAAGGAATAAAACGCCGGCGCTATACGGCGGCGGATTAACAAAAGACTATTTATTAGCGAACTTTTTTATGCATGTACGGTTTCGAACTGTTTCAAGCAAAAATAAACCTTATACCATATCACAAGAGCACATGGTACTTCGTAGGTCTATTCGGTCCGGCCATATGATAGTAATAAGACGGCAGTTCAACCATTTTAAGCAAAATTAAACAATAAGACTAACGCATTGTTTTTTTTTATAACAGGAGACTGGTTTTCCAGAAATTTATTTACAACTTGAGTTTGTGAGCGATCGCAATGAGTGCTATTATTTGTTACTTATTAGACTATTTTTCCACAACATGATTTAAAACTCACAAACTAAAAACAGTGACATGTACAAGTTAAAAAAAGGTTGTCAACCCCTAAAAATTTCAAAATATCCAGAAACGAAGCTGTAGGCATGAACTACTTGCAAAATAATGAATATTTTGTTCTGGATAAATCTTCCAAAAACGCAATTTGAGCGAGTTATGACGATTTAAAAAAAGACAATCAATCATAAAAACAATCAATGGCACGCCAGGCGCACTGAACCGGTTAAATGTTTTATTTTGTTTTACCTGTTCCTCATCAGCCGGTTACAGTTCACAATTTAATTTCTCCCAATTTTTGTAAAGATTTGTTGTAATCGCTGCGCTGGGTAGGTAGGATTTATATACATAAACACTCACGCCTGTCACCCAGAGGGGTAGGCAGAGATTATGGACTTCCATTTGGCACGATCCTGACACACCTCTCTGGCTTCCTCCACATCCATATACCTACGCATACACGCTCGTCGGTTAAAGGTACTAATGATTTGGCCCATTTTTAATTTGTGATAGCAGTAAAATAAAATACCAAAGCATAATAACATCAATATTTATTCAAAAATAATTTACAAAATGATTTGTCTCGTGTACTCCCAAACAAAGATGGCTGCGGTGACGTGAACGTTTAAAGACCTAACAACGCCTTGTTGAGGAATCTCTACGCAATAGTCCATTAGAGGTAGAAGATCACATGGAACACCTTCTTTCTCATGCCTGTAAAGAATAATTTTTTTAACACTTGCATTCCTTACACTATAAAAATTTACTTTATGCAAAGAATTGTATGTATAGGTACCACTAGACAGGCTCTGCGGCCTTAATATATTGCGCACTAAGTTACGATCAATTCTCCGTAACACCTTTAGTCGACTGTGAGCGAGAGTTCTTTGTTTTGTAAATCGCGAACATTGTTTTCGACAATCTAACAATGATTTTGAAACGAAGTTTTTTATCGGACGTTACGAATTTGGCCCCTTCTGACGTAGTGTAGACGGCCTTGGCGGCTATAAGGAAGCGAGATGAATAATATCCATCATCCTCGCACTTTTTCTTATCTTGCCATGAAATTAATATTATTTTATTTTAAAAGACACTTCATTTTGATAGATGCTAGTAATTCGTTTATTTGTATTTGTTAACCAATAATATAATGCGTTTATCAATAACAATATACTACGAAAGGTACTTCGTTCCAACCGAGTGTTCTACAACACTCACACATGTTTGTGTGTTTTTTATGTGACTAAGAAAACGCTGTTATTATTTATGTGTGCACTTACTTTGTCAACGTGATTTGAAGTATATTTCTGACGAGTATGAAATTTTATTTCGTATTATCCTAAAGCAGTAACTGTCGTAAATGAAAATACAACTGCGTGGCACATTTACTGTCCCAGCCACACACAGCTGTGACACAGTTTTAGTTCTGGATTGCCGTGTAGTGTGGAGTAAAAAATAACTAGATCGGCGATGTAACAGCGTCAAAAGTACGAGACGTATGGTACTACAATCGTCAATTACCAGTCAAGCGTGACGATTAAGGGCAATGCTTGCTGCAAGGGGATAGATAGATCAAGAAGATTCTTGCTTGACCAAAAAAAACATATTTGAAATCCCCCATCCCAAAAACTTGCGAACAATGGATTGGTCCCATAGTAAAGATTTGCTCAAATCACCATGCTTGGCGGACAGATTGGGTCAATTGTCATAAATTTTACGTGAATTTCACCTTTAGGCAAACTGTAAAAAAAAAACTTGTCTCAGAACACAATGTACCAATTTGTCCTGCCTATTTGGATTATACGTAAGCCTTTAGTTCGCCGAAATTGGGGCGACGCTAGAGTAATATCAGCGGTGAGTCGGCTATCGTTATATAAAAGTCTACAGTAGGGCCTTGATGGCTTTCCCAGTATAGAACCTGAGTACGAAAGCTATTCAAATGCAGAGAGGGTAAAAAGAGGTATAGATCAAGACATGCTGCATTGGAGGGCATTTTCAAGCTACTGGACTGGAAAGGATACGGTATCAACATCAATGACGAGTACTTTAAGATGGTTTGGTTACCAGAAAGTACGGTCCTGAGCCAACTACTTCTATCAACTAACGACATGTTTCATCAGGTCGTCACTTCACGTATTGGGGAATCGCTCAACACTGTGCTTGCCAGTACGAGGCTGCCTTTCTTCCCCATCACTTATCGGTTCCTCGGGCTATTCATTACAGCCCATCAAAAGCGCACTGCTGAACATACGCCTGCCCCATATTTTGCATAGGAGGTAATGCCATATCTGCCACGTTTGGCAGGCAAGTTGGCAACCGCAGTTTTTTATTATTTTGAGTTGTTATCAGGAAGATGCCTGACACCCAAGGTATGATTTGGGGTAGTGGATTGTCTTACGCCGCCACTATATGGCGATCTGGCCAGTCCTAAAAGTGCGTGTAAAATAAATAAATATATACCCGAGTAACAGCAGCGTTTTCTTGGGAAATTTAAACGTTTGTAGCTGACAACTGGTAGAGGTCTGTTCCGCGGCTACGACTGAATAGCCTTCACTTTTCTTCTCCATAATGTATTCCTTAAGTTTGTTTGGACGCACCTCCTCCACATCTATCCAACGTTCTGCTGATACACTGAAATAATTTATTTTTATTATTGGAGTTTCCTCCCTTAGATAGGAATAGGGAACGAAATCGAGTGTTAACAAAAAGTGACAGTGGTAGAGCCACTGCAGCTATATTATGGTTGTACTGCAATATTTCTTTACTTATTAATTTATTTATTCGACACAACAATATAAGCTTACAGTACTAGACCAATTCGCTTATTATACTAACATGATATTACACATTTTATAAGATCACTTTTCAGATAAGAAAACATACTTTCTAATTACATCGATTTTGTCAAAAAATATATCGGCATCAAAGTTGCTTTGTAAAAAATCTATTGCAATATCGTGACGTTTGTAAAGGTACCGGGAAAATTTACGCTGTAGCACGAATAGGTCGGCTCGACTGGAGTTGGACCACGCTCTAACAGGTTACCAGGACAAAATAGCAGCTTAATGCTACTGTTTCGTGTGGTCAGTGTAAAAAACCGGATACCCTTTTTACTGGAAATGAGGCATTCCATCTAAGCCCTCACGGGTTACAACGCATCTACATTTTCATTCTTAATCGAGGATATATGTAGATGTCTATGAACCAGCATCCACTTACGATCAATCATTTAGTACATATCCTGGGTTGACGTTCGAAGCCGAAAAGCTGCGGATATTAGCTCCAAGAAGAGAACTTTCAACCAGTCCGCTAAGTCCTACAAAAAAGCATTTACGGAAAGCTAGTCTCGATCGCATTAAACATATCGGCGCAAAACTCTGCCAGACCATCCGGCACTAGAGCTTTTTGGTCTCTCGCCAAAGCGGTCGAGACAAACTTCTGTTGGCCTACACTGCCTCCGCTGGTAAAACCGGATGGCACACTGGCGCATACAGCTAAAGAGAAAGCAGACTTGTTCGCATCTCT